CTATTTAGTGTCATATTTTCATTTAATTCTAATAAATCATTTTTTATACAATATGCCCAAGTCGAATATAAAACATCTACTATTCTAATAAGATCATCAGATGATCGACGTTTAATGTGACCAAACCATTTAAGACGACTCTATCTAATTTTGTCTGTCACCGGAGCTACACCAACCCTATCACAGATATATTCATTTTGCATTCCTTCTCCAAGTGTAAAGCCACTCATTCACCTAATCATTCTCATCTCGACAACACTTAACTTAGTTTTATGCTTTCTTTTAAAGCCAACATTCAGCGCCATATAGCATTGCAGGTCTGACCACCCTCTTATAAAATTTTCTTTTTTGTCTAAGCGATACTTTTTTATTAAACTATAGGCCCGAAGCATTCCTCCACTTCAACCAACCAACTTGAATTCTACTAATAACATCCCCATCAATATCACTATCACTTCGAACAATTGACCCGAGATATCTAAAGCGTTCACACCTTTTAATAATTTGATCACCCATACTTACATTTCTGTCACTAGAGCTACTACTACTAAAATTACATTCCATGTATTCAATTTTAATTCTATTCAAACGAAGGCCTTTATACTCCAAGGTTGACCTCCATAATTCAAGTTTTTCCTGAGCTTTTTGAACCGATTGAGAAAAATTTTCAGTATAAGGAGGGGCTCCAGGAGAAATGTTCTCTATCCGAGGGTCCCTATTTGGGATTGATCTTGGGGTAGATGAATCTCACCCATGCGCTAATACTGGTTGCTAAGCTTTACTCAGAAGCTGAAGAATCTCATTTTGAGATTCTTTCATTTTCCTCATGCGGTCTTTTAGGGGCAAAGAAGAGGCATCTTCACCAGTAGGGCAATGGCTTCAGGGGGGAAAATGTAGAGGCTTGTCGTCCCTGATTATGAGATTTCCCTTGAAATGGTTGGTGTTGGTGTGTGAGATTCTATTGTTACGGGTATTAGGCTTTTTAGCCATTGAAAGTATGGCTGTCAAAAACGACTTGTTGTTCACGAAGAGCTCGTGTTGAGGTCGTTGAGAAGCTCATGTTCGATTCTTTCGCTAAATTAATGAGTCGGACCCAAAAATTTTTTTGACCTCGATATATAAATGAGCTTAACACAAAAAAAAAATTTTCATTCGTGTTTGGCTCGTTTTGGCTCGAAATGCTACTCATCAATATGTATGTATGTATATATATATATATATATACATATATACATATATACATACATATATACATACATATATATTGATGAGTAGCATTTTAAAAAAAAATTAACTGACTACAAGACTATAGACTTATAATCGATTAAAATTATTAAATAAAAAATAGAATAAAAATATATTAAATTATATTTAAATGATGTTTTAATATAAACAATAAGGTTAAAATCTTGCCCCAACCCTTAACATCCTACGACTGCGCAATTAGGGTTGCCAAGTCGACTCTTTTTTTGTGAACAGCTTGTGTTCGACTTGTTTAGCAAACGAGCTGAAGACGAACACACTTGTGTGTTCGAAATATTAACGAGCCGAACACGAACAATAATATTGTTTAATGAGCCGAACACCAGCCGAGCCTGGGCTCGCTCGTGTTCGGCTCATTTACACCTCTAGTTGAAAGTATATTTACACTTCTATAAATAAGAAAATATAGCAAAGTAAATTGAGATTTTATTTCCCACGGACAACTCCAAACTGTTGCGTGCCAGAAAATTTACGACGATTTGTATGAAAATTCATCACATAAATAAGAAAATATAGGAAAGGGAGACCGAGATTTTTATGTGAAAAAACTATTAGAGGAAAAAAAACCTAGTTTAGTCAAAGTATTCAACTTTATGTTTGTATGTACAAGGTACGCCCTTCTCTCATGACAGGGAGAACGAGATTTCAATTTTATACTAAAATCTATACTTATCTTTTTATTGCTAAAAATATGTGTTAGGAAATTCAACAATAGCTGTAGTTTGACAACAACAGTTGCAAGTAATGGTTACTGATAGTCGATGGTCGGTGGTGGCAATTGGTAATGGCGTGTTGTGGTTGACAGTAGCTAACGGTTACAGACGCTGGTAATCGGTGGTGACAAGTGGTGATAGCAAGTTGTAGTTGACAATGATAAACGATTTTGTGGCTGGTGGTCGACGGTGGTTGGCGGCTACAGAGGCCAGTAGTTACTCTCGAAGTCTTCTTTCCAGAACAGACTCTAGAATTTCACTTTTCTTTCTTTTTCTCTCCCCCCCTCTCCAAGTGAAGAGAGGGGGCCTATTTGTAGCTTATTAGGGAGGGGCATTTTATTTTTTTGGGGTACATAACTTATCTAACAATCAGATTGGATGACCCATGCTATTCCTTCTCTATCATAGCTGATTTATAAGGATTTAAGTGTCTTAAAGACCCCAGAACTTGACAATCTTAGCCTTGTTGGATTTCTCTTATCGAGACGCTTAGTTTGATTATAACTATGCCAAATTTGAAGTTCATTTGGCCATTGCATTGTTGATCTAAAACCTCCAATTGTGCTTCAACGGCTTGATCTGGGCTTGATTGGATCCAAATTGAATTAATTTTAGAGTCGTTTGTCTTGCCGAGACGCTTAGTTTGATTACAAATTGATGAAATCAGAGCTTGGATAGTCATGAATTTGAATTTGGAAGATTTCTTATAAAAAATGCATGGAGATTCATGTTAATCATAAAAATTTGTTGATGACACATTGGATATCATTGGAACTATTCATCTAATATAATAATTTTTTAAATCATCCTTTATAATTTTTTCATGCATTCATTTTAACTTTCCTTTTTTTTTCAATGCTTAACATGGGTACTAATGACTTTTTAGTGTTGATCATGCATATCCATACAATATAATATGCTTAATTGTGAGTTTAATAAATTTCTCATTTAGTCATTATGACGTCTCCTTATGAGTTATTGAGGCACTTCTCTCTTTTAACTACCCACGCTACTTTAGAAGTTGTATTCATATATATATATATATATATATATATATTATTTTATTTTGTGTGATACATTAATACACTTAAACTATTATACCCAGGCATCCTTTTTATTTTTAATAATATCGATGTATTCTTATTAATATAACACTCGCTAAATTATATATCATATTAGTACTAAATCATCAATCATCCAAACATCTTCTCCATGATTTAATTTTAACATGTTTTAGCAGATGCTTCATTGATTAGAATTATATCATCTACAAAAAAATGCATCAAGGCTCCTCACTTTGATTATCATTTATAAGAGTTTTCGTAATTAATACAGAAAATATTGAGTTGATGTTAATCTTTTGTGTACTGTTTGTGCAATTGAGAACAATTTGGTCACTCATTAACTTTTTATAATACTAGTGTTGCAATATTTATATATATACATCTTCAACAACTTCAACTCACTTTGACACAGCCAAGATTTGAAGAGGGAAAATCGAGAATTGAGATATTTTAACTTCACAATGCAGCGTGTAAACCTCGAATTAAAAATAAAAATATTAAAGATTAAAAATGATTCATGAATATTTCATGAATCATCAATATGTTCACTCTTCATAATCATATTCTATAAAATCACATAGTAACTAAAAAAAAATTATATCTTAAATGTTATTCTAAGGTGAAACTGTGGAACAAGATTCAAGATAAATGCTCAATTGAAATTTAAATATAAAATGAGGATCATTATCCATAATGACCTCTTTCTCACTTTCTCTATTTTAAAAGAAGTCATCATATGTATTAAAAAAAAAAAAACTAAAAGAAAATAATAAAAAAATAATAGAAAAATTATCAAAGATTTGTGAAAATTTTAAAAGTAAAAAATAAACATAAAGAAAGTTTAGAAACAAGATTGAGAAAAAAAAAAAAAACTTAAAACCTATAAAATAGATAAACAACATATAAAAATAAATTTAAAAATAATGAAACATAAATGAAAATAAGAACTTAAATAAAAACAAGAAAAATTGTCATTTTGTCGGTTTTCTATTAGGGAAAGTCCCTAAACAAAATGGTCAAAAGAGAATTTGATATTTGACTTGCACTCGCTCCTCTCGCTCAAATGACATCTTAATCTGATGCAATCAATGGCTCTTTTTCCATCTCTCACTCAAACATAAGCGAATCTCACTCCCTCCTATTCACTTGTGCTCTATATTTCTTGCACGCTTGATCTCACTAACCTGACCTAAATAGAGAGGTTTCAGATCTCTTAGTGATCTGAAATGATATATAAGTATAATATAAGATACATTAATACTATATTATAATATCGTATTACAAAATAATATCTGTTTTTGTATCAACTTATTAGAAGCGTCCGCCTTTAATGCCTGGGGCATAAAGCCTCTTGGTGTATGCCTCTATAATAAAGGCGTAGGCTTCACTATAGATACTGAGGCACACATCTCAAGATGTCTTTTGTGCGTCTATATCAAGGCGTTCCTTCAGGGGCATGCCTCGATTATTTTTTTAAACGCCATACAAAAGCTTTTTGTATTAATGCACACCAAATTAAAAATCATTTCTTTGTTTTAAATTTTTTTTCATTAACTTTATTATAAAAAAATTTGCTCTCATAGTAGAGCTTCCCGGCATGACACCAATTTACTTAATTGAAATTCACGTAATCTTTTAAGCTTATGTTTCATTATTCTCCACCATTGATGCATTGTTGAGAGAAGTTAAATTCCTTTACAGCTAGAGTATAGCAGTTGCTAAATAGTGCTTAGAAACTTTAAATTTGTGCTGAACTCCAATTTAAAGAATCTGGACTAATTTGACACTTTTATAGACTATGAGACTAAAGCAGTCCTATGTAAATAGTCGGGACTTTTTGGCACTTTACTCTAAAAATATATCAGCTGCCTCGAACTTGTTATTGTTGCTCATCATTTGTTAAATGGTTTTGATCTGGAAAAAAAAAACAGTTTTCATAATAATATTTCATATTCTTCAGGAAGGATTTGCTTTCGCTCATTGCACAACATGCAAGGCTCCCTACTACTTGAGGGTCCACGTGCTTGCAGACCGGAAGTGGCGCACCCTAAAGTTCCGTTTCTTTGTGACCCGCGACATTTTGTTCATTTTTGTCGCTGTTCAACTTGTAAGTTTGTGTTAAGCCACTTGACAAACGTAGATAAATATCTGATCTTCCACGTCCCACCCTAACTAAGAGAAAAAATACTTATCCCTAAACACTTGCAGGTTATTTCCTCATTGGGTTACCTCGTGTATTTGATCGATAACTATCAGCAGTATTGGTTACGGTTAGCTTGGGGCTTTGACAGCAAGCTCAGTTTCTACTACATATGTGGTAATGTGTCCCTAAACAGATTTGATACGGTGACTACTATTGGCCTTTTGTTTTGTATTTTTTTGATGGGGCATTTGCATACATAACACGGAATTCTTATATATTTTAATGCATAGCACTCAAATCTTTGATTTCACATAAAAAAAATAGCACTATTACTACTTTTTAGAAGTCAAATACACCTTTCACGCATAGGTTTAAAGCACCAAAGTGTTATGTATGTAAATAAAAAAGTTTAGGTGTGAGACATTTAAATACGTAAGAATTCTGTGCTATGTATGTAAATTTCCCTCCTTTTATATACTATGGCATCCTCTGTTTGAGGTGATTTGGACTACACTGTTTCACTTCATTTGCCCTTTTCAAGAGAATCTGAACATTTTGGGTCTGTTCATTGTTTTCCAAAAAAGATCTTTATGATGTGTTGCTTAAAAGATTTGGAGCAATCATTTATTTATTAATTAATAGGGGCTTTTAAATTCGTACGACACAATTCATATGTATTTTTATATGTAAGGCTTAAACATTCATATTTGTATGCATACCACTGAAATCTTTAACATCATATGAAAAAGACCATAATCATTATATTTTTAAGAGTGAAAATACAGCTTCTCATGCATAAGTTTATGACACCAATGTGTCATAAGAGTTAATATCAAAATTTGAGTGTTAGATACATAAATACATAACATTCTGTGTAAATTTCCCTAATTAATGTGTATGTTAATTATTTGTTTATGGAAAACCATTATATTTCTTTGATTTTGTTACTTAGGAGTGAAACACTGAACTAGTGAGTGAGGTGTTTGGAGATTTTTTGTCGGCAATCAAAGTAAGGAAAATCCTTATAAGGAATAACCGTGCCTCTGAAGTACTATATCATAAGCTGATACCATAAATACTTCAAAGAAAAAATTTATAAAATTGTAATTAGGTTGATTATTTTGTGTGAAACCAATTGTTTGATAGCAAAAAGTCAGTGATAGTTAAGTTGCATATGATGGAAATAATAATGGCATGATTTGTGATAAAAGGAGGTAGGGTAAATTATGAAAATAGTTATATTAGATAAACTCTTGTAATGACTCCTATTGAGATAAATATTTGTCAACTTCATTGAGGTAATTTGGATATCACAACAAATGGTTCAAAAATACTCCTTAGGAGTGTAATAAACCAAAGGTAGCATGGATATAAGTTTCGTACAATTTTTTGAAATTTATTACCTTAGTTCTTAGCAGGAATTAGTGATAAATTAAAATTCACAAACTGAGAATCCAAGTTGTTGGGCAAATAACGATGATGATGATATTTAATATGCTGTATTTATTGACTTTTTTTGTTCTATTCTTCAAACATTTGGGAATTGCATTATTTTGGAACTGAAGATACTTATTTCACGACGTGCTGTCATTTCAAAGCAGCGTCATGTATCAGCATGCTTGACTATAGTTAAATATAAAAAACCAAAGTAACCAAAATGTTCTGAGAAAGAAATAAAATTCAAACTCTCTCCTTTTTTCTTGATAAATATTTGCAGGTGCTCTTATGTTCTTTGCTTTGCTTGGGCTGTCGGGATGTTTCATAACTTGTTATGATCGACGGGTGCGTAATGATTTGGCACAACCTTGTCGAGAATTATGTCTCTGTTGCTGCCATCCTGGGTAAGATTGTTGTGTTACATTTGTTTAAACTTGCATTATTTCATTAATTTGCATTACACATCCTATCATAATAGCTAATACATGTACAAAAGGCTGAAATTGTTAAATGAGTAGCTCAAAATGAATATTAAAGACCAGTAGTTCTATAGTTTTACTGTCTGGAACATTTTCTCATGCATTGCAGTTACAATATGTTAATATTGTCATTTTTTTTCATTGTTATGCAAATTGTTGTTTGCATGAAATGAACTTGGTATTTAATGTTTAGCATTTTATGAGTGTTGCTTTGCTTTATTGAATCAATGTAGTTCGCTTTAGTGTTGTCAGTTGTGTTATTTTATTATGTTCATGGTGATGTCAACTATATAATGAGCTTTTTCATGCCTGGATTCTGGTGTACTAAAAGGGCAAAAACCGTAACCCATTTGCTCTCACATTTGTCAGAGAATTTGGAGAAAACATAGCTATTTAGGAATTGATTGTTTATTTGGAATCTAGTGGGCTCATTAGTTTGAATGATTTGGTCCAGTGAGGAAATCAGGGAAGAGAAGCTTATATGGAAGACTCAGTGCTGTGGGATGTTATCAAAATAAAATTTATAATTACAAAAAATTCTGATTATATAATTTTCTATAGTAGGAAAGTTTACTAAAATGTTTAATTAGTTTAAAACTTTGTGCGTTAGCTTCTATTATATAGAAACCTTGTATAGCCTTGAAAGTGGAGTTAATAAAAATAAATCTCTCGTAATTAACAGGTGCTTTTTTTCATGGTTGCCCCCAACAAAAATTGTTAAAAATTACACTAAAAGTGATCTTAGGAAGGTGTATTTGATAGATAACAAGGCTTGTAGTAGTTTTGGAAAGTCTGATGTTGATATGAAATTGTCAAATGGATCAATTAGGAAATTGAATGAAGTTAAACATGTTTCATGTTTAAAGAAAAATCTGATTTTTCTGAATTAGCTTGCAAGGTCAGGGTATGTGATCACTTTCATAGGTGATTTATGGTAGGTGACTAAAAATGTAATTATTATGGCTCAAGGCAATATTGAATGCATCCTTTATTTGATCAATGATATGTTTGAGTCAATTGGAGTAGTTGGAACAAAGGTTGAAGCAGGTTTCTGGCACTGCGGGCTTGGTCATATGGGTTAAATGGATGAAGTCCCTCCGTTCTAAAAGCAAACTTTAGAGTTCAAATCCTATAGACTTAGATTTTTTTAAAATTGTATGTACGATAAGCAAAAGAAGGTTATGTTTTCTTACTGTAAGTCAAAGTTGATGTGCAAACATTGGCGTTAGTGTATACTGATGTATGTGATTCTACTCGAGTTCTATCTATTGGAGATTCTTTATATTATCGCTTTCATTGATTATAACACCCGAAAGGTATATGTATGCACTTTCTGAATATAAATATGTTGTATTTAAGAAGTGGAAAGTCATGGTCGAGAATGAGACTTATTTGAGGTTAAAGTGTTTCATATCAGATGATAGCGACGAGTATCGTGATAAAAGATTCATAAGTTATTGTGCTTCAGTATGAATCAAACATGAGTTCGTTGTTCCAAGGACACCATAATAAAATGGTGTTGCTGAGCACATGAATTAACCATCAAGTGCATGTCAGGAGTATGAGGTTGCATGTTGGTTTGCCAAAATAATTTTGGTTAAAAGCGGCAGACACTGTAATGTATTTGATAAATCGTGGTCCATCCGTACTTTTGAATGTAGACTTACTTGAATAAACTTGGAGTGACAAAAATGTGGATCTATCTAACATAAAGTATTTGGTTGTTTATCATAAAGTGACAAAAACATAGATCTATCTAACATGAAAGTATTTTGTTATTAATCATATGTTCATGTTGATGTGGGATCCAAGAGTAAGCTTGATTCAAAATCTCTCAAATGCACTTTTCATTGAGTATGACTTAGATGAATTTGAATATTCATTAGGATCAGGGATATCACATTCAATAAAATGGAGATGTACAATGACAAAAACAGAACTCAGGATTTTTCATCGATTACTTTTGAAGATCCTTCCAAGTATGTTGAGATAGAAGACTCGAGCAATCATTAAGATGGGTAAGAAAATGTGCTTTTATTTGATAAAGCACAAAATGTTCTTCAGACACCTATTGAAATCAGGTCTAGAAGAATCACATGATCGGTATTAAAGTCTTTCTCCTTCTTTGTACCATCTATTACCGATGGTAGTGGCGAACCAGAGTGTTATGATGAGATCACTTAAGTTGAACTTAGGAGTAGGAGATTGTCATTGATTAAAAATGCAGCTGCAAATTTCAAATCAGACATGAGAATTAACAAACTACCAGATAACAAAAAAGATGTTGCACAACAATTGTGTTTACAGGCTAGTAAAAGAGTCAGATGTTAGCAAGTGCTACAAGACAAGGCTTGTTGTGAAGGGATTTCGACAAAATGAAAGAGTTAACTGCACTGAGATATTGTCACCGATAGCAAAGATGACAATTATCAAAGTTATGTTGAGCTTAGTAGCAGAGGAATATCTATATCTAGAGCAGTAAAGGCAACATTCGTACGTGATGATTTAGAAGAAACATTCTACATGATGCAACGACAAGTATATGAAGTCTCAGGAATGAAGATATAATCTGTAGATTAAAAAAACCTTTATGGGTTGAAACAGACGTCAAGACAGTGATACAAGAGATTTGACGTGTTTATGTCAAATAGTGGGTACACGAATTATCAGTCATATCATTGTTGTTTCATTAAATGTTGTGATAATTGCTATATTGTGTTTTTTTTATATTTGAATGACATGTTGATTGTATGAGCAGATATGCAGAAGACCATTGACTTAGAAGGGAAATTATCAAGGGAATTTGAAATGCATGATTTAGGTCCAATCAACAAAATTCTAGGTATGAGAATCTATAGGGACAGGCGTGCAGGTATATATCTTAGATAGAATATATTGAGAAGTTTCTATCATATTCAACTTGAGTGAGGTAAAATATGTTTATACCCCTTTTATATATTTACTTTAAACTATTTAAGGATTAATCGTCTAAATCTGAAAAAGAACAAACACAGTTAAGATGAACTCTATATGGTTCAACAGTTAAAAGTTTGGTGCATGCGATGATATGTACAAGATCAACTATTGCACACACAGTGGGAGTGATCAACCAGTACATGGGTAATCTAAACAAACATTATTTAGAGGCGGTAAAATACCTTCTCAGATACTAAAAAGAGACAATCAACAAAACAATTTGCTTAGAAAATATAATGATTAATTTACATAGATGCTTATATTCAGATCTGGTAGGAGATATTGATGGTGGAAGTAGTACATGTTATATTTTAACTTTGAGGAACACAACAGTGAGTTGAGTTATCAGGTTATAGAAGATTGTTGCATTATTGACTACAAAAGCTGAGGATATTATTATCACTGAGACTAACAATAGAATGATTTGACTACAGAGCTTTATGGCAGAACTGGAGGATGAGCAAGGGACCTAGAAAATAACGCCCTATTTTATGTCAGGATGAAACACATTTAGCTAAGTTATAATTTCATTCTTTCAATCTTAAATAATGATTAATTATCTTTAGAGAAGATACAAATAACTCATAATTCTGCAGATATGTTGACTAAAGTTGTAATAGTTGAGAAATTAAATTTCTTCTTGGCTTCAAGTGAAGTTCAGGAAGATCGCGACAAGAATGAGCTACCTACACTTCACAACTGTGAACATGTTGTAGTTTTTTGGAGGAGCGGGGTTGATTGCAATCAGTCTCAAAGTGAGAGATTGTTATTATATGGAGCCTAATTGTGTTAATTGATTGGACACTAAAAGCCCTCAATTTCATCAATCAAGCTTTACAGTGATTTTGTTAGCGGGGTACGGAAGGGTGACTCGTTGTATTGGGTTCGGGGCGCTGCCCCCAAAACTTGTTTTATTGCACACAACACTCAAAAGATAGTTCCATCGCGCCCGATATAGGTTCAAGCTCAAGAGCATGACACCTAGTACCCGGAGAGGAACATCGCCGCGTTGTGTTCAACCGCGCCACAATGTTAGTCTCGGTTCAAAAACCTGAGAGCATGACATTGCAACGCATGCTCCCTTTGGAGCGTCGCTACTTGCACGCTATCGTGATGTCTTGGCGTCAATAATTGAGTTGAAGCAGTTTGGGTTTTATATTTTTGCTTCGCTGTGAGATTTTTTTAGTGTTAAAGTTGGATTTTAAGCTTTCATGTAGAGGAAAGAGTTTTTTGAGTTTCAAAAGTACGGAGAAGCTTGAGTGCGGTGTAATTTGTACAAATTTTTTTCATTTTTTCATATTAGATTTATTGATGTGGTGTGACTCCGCGATTTTTTCCCGTTTGAGTTTTTTTCATTTTAAATCTTGGTGTTTTTTGTATTATAGCAGCTCGAGGGGAGCGCTGTAGCTCCCAGATGCAGTGCCCCAATGCCAAAACCACTACGCCGCAACACATAGTCTTGGTTCTGAAACCCGTGAGCACAACACTGCAACGCTCGAATGCAGCACTGTAGCACTTTTTTTGGTGCGCCCATGAACCCTATCGCGGTGCCCCGACACTAGTAACCGAATTTAAACTGTTCAAATTTTATATTTCTGCTTCATTGTGGGATTTTATGAGATTCAGAGTTGGATTTTGAGATTTCTCGTGTGCGAAGGAGTGTTCCCGAATTCCAAAAATATAGAGAGTTTTAAATGTGTTGTAATTTGTCAATTTTTCTCATTTTTCATTGTGGATTTTTTGGTGAAGTGTGACTCCATGATTTTTTTCTCATTCTCGGGGTTTTCCACGTTAAATCTTGGCGTTATTTGTATTTTATGTAAAATTTTTTCCATTTGCTTATGTTGTACGTATTGCTTCTGATTTCTTGAATCTGTTTTTGCATCTCTTCCAAAATAAAAAAAAAAATCAAAATTGTTGATGTCTATTGTTAGACCATAGTCAAAATA